ACGAAAAAAGTTGTGTGGTGACATTCATCTACTTCATCTAGAACAACCACTTACGTATTAAATTACCTATCTTGCATTTCATACACTAGTAAATATCACTAATATCTGGTCTTACTAAGTTATGAATCACAAAATCTTGATATCATCTCTCATTTGTTTCAAAGCATGTTCACTTAGATTCTTTGTCAATTACTTCCCTGTTTAACAACACAAGTTTAAAAGACATTTTGGTACTTTTAACATAATTTTAATTTAGAAGCACAAGATTGAAAAATGTGTGAAAATGGCGGGTTCCACTTCAAACTATTTAGTGAAGATTGTCAATAGAGCACAAATAACCGGAATTGTTGTTTTTATTTTATTTAGTTAAACAGTCGTATATATGGAAGATATATAGAGAACATCAAAACAAACTCGTGATTCCAATTGATGTTTAAATTGAGCAATAATGATGCTCGTGCAATTAAGGAGCTAGGAAGACACAATTGTAAAGCAATTACAAGTTTAAACTGTAGAGTATATATTGAGGAGGAGCTATTGAATGCTAATTACAAAATAGAGAAACAAGCTAAGTGTGTAGTTTATGGTGAGTTTCCAAGTGATAAGAAATCTATGAATTGTGCATCAGATCACAAGTTGGTGATCAATTCATGATCTCTTATTGTATTGAGTTGTAAAAAGTCAAACAGTTACTATTATATTGCAGCTGGCTTGATGATTTTTGTTGTCTATATTTTCTTGCCATATTATATAACATGCCAATGATTTTTGAGAGCATTATATTGTAGAAAATATGGAAGGAAAAATAATATCTTTAGAGAACGCTCAAGTTTATTATAGGCTACTTAAGGCCACTTAAGATGATTATAATCATTAATTACATCACTATTTAGACTACTCAAAATAGAAAACAAAAAGTCTTGCACAAATAACTAAATACATATATCACAATTTACTAGATACATGTACTACGAAATTCTAAAGAGACTTCTTGAAAAATTAAGAGACAATTTCGAAAGACTAAACATTGATGCATTAATTTCAACACTCCCCCTTAATGCATTTGCTTGATAACTCCAATGCATTCTCAAAGATAGCAATTTTTTTCTCTAGGAAGTGCTTTGGTGAAGATGTCACCAAGTTGTTGTCCTGTCTGACAATAATGCAACTGCATTTAGCCTTTCTCTTGTGCTTCTCGGATAAAATGATACTTGATGGAAATATGCTTTGATCTTTCATGGCTGACTGGATTCTTGGCAATTGCAATTATTGATTTGTTATCACAATACAGAACAATCTCTTTTTTTTTGTTTTTCACCAATGTCTTCAAATATTCTAGTAAGTCAAATAGCTTGAGAAGTAGCCTTAGATGCTGAAACATATTCTACTTCGACAGTGGATTGAAAAACAACACTTTGTTTTTTTGATAACCAAGAACAAAAACTTGATCCAAATAAGAAAGCATAACCATAAGTACTCTTCATATCGTCTATACCAATTAAGTTCAAATCTCCACCAAATTTGAACATTATCCCATAATCCATTGTTCCTTGCAAGTAGCGTACAACACGCTTTGCAGCTCCAAAATGCACTTGTCTTGGTTCTTGCATGAATCTGGATTATAAACTAGCAGCAAACATAATATCTGACCTTGTTGAAGTAAGATATAACAAATTTTCAATCAAACTCCTATAAAGTGAGCTATTAACTCTCTTTTCTCCATCATCTTTTCTAAATTTCTCATTTGCTGCTAATGGTATGGCCACACACCTGCAATCCATCATTTTAAATTTTTGAAGAATACTTTTAGTATACTTCTTTTGAGAAATAAAAATTCCTTCTTTCACTTGAGAAACTTCGATGCCTAAGAAATAATTTAGCAACCCAAGATCACTCATTTCATAAGTTTGCATCATATCTTGTTTGAAATTTTGCTTCATCTTTACATCACTTCATGATAAAGCTGTCATTTTCTTTCTTCACATACAATGTGGCTTCACTTTTACTTCTCTGAAAATTATTTTCAGAAAGTATGTATCAATTTCATTGTACTAGGTTCTTGGAGCTTTCTTCAGCCTGTAAAGAGCTTTTTTTAGCCTGCACACCTTTTCTTCCCCCCCTTGAACAAAAAATCCTTGAGGTTTCTCAACATAAATATCTTCATCAAGTTTTCCATTCAGAAATGTTGATTTAACATCAAGTTGAAATATCTTCCATTTCTTTTGTGCAGCAACAACAATTACAGTTCTAATTGTCTCAAGATGAGCAACTGGAGAGGAAGTTTCATTAAAATCAATACCTAGTTTTTGCGTGAAGCCTCTAGCAACCAACCTTGCTTTGTGCTTTTGAATATCTCCTTCTTGAGTGAGTTTGATTTTGTAAATTCATTTTAGACTTACAACTTCTCTTGCTCTAGGTATAGCCACAAGCTCTCAAGTATTATTTTTTTCAATCATTCGAATTTCTTCTTTCATGACTTTCTTTCAAAAATCATACTTTATTGCTTCTTCATAATTTTCTGGCTCAACACATGTAAAATTACATCTTTAATAAATGTCACTCAACATTTTTGTTCCTCTTGGAGGCGGTCCTTCATCAGCTGAATCTGGGCTTTCTCCCCAATGAGAGACATCTTGATCTTTTTCATCCTCTTCTTGATTTGAAGATATGATAACAGTATTCTCTATCTTTTTATCCTCCCAATTACATGTTGTTTTTTCATCAAAAATGACATCTCTACTAAAAACAAGTTTGTTAGTTTTGACATCGAGAAGCCTATATTCTTTTGTCACATCACTATAACAAAGAAAGATACATTTTTGACTTTTTAATCCAATTTTGTTCTTTTCTCGGCAGGTACATGAGCATAACAAATACACCCAAAAATTATAAAATTACTTACAGAAGGTTTAATTTCACTCCAAGCTTCAGCTGGTGTCTTGCCCTTTAGTGCCTTTGTTGGACACCTGTTAAGGATGTGAACTGCTGTATGCAATGCTTTTGTCCAAAAATATTTTGGCAGTTCTTTCTCATTCATCATAGTTCTGGTCATTTCAACAATTATTCTATTTCTTCTTTCAGATACATCATTTTGTTGAGGAGTATGCCCTGCTGTAAGTTGCTTCTGAATGCCTTCATTTTCGCAATATTCTTCAAATTCTCGACTTGTGTACTCACATCCTTGATCACTGCGAATGGTTTTGATGCTGCAACTTTTTTGCTTCTCAACAATGACTTTAAATTTCTTGAATGTAGCAAATGCTTCTGACATTTCTTTCAAGAAATAAACTCAAGTCATCCTTGAGAAATCATCAATAAATATTAGAAAATACCTTTGACTCTCAAGAGATGGAGTCTTTATTGGTCCACAAATATCGGTATGAATTAGTTCCAAAAGTACACTTGCTCTCCAAGACACCCCTTTTGAAAAAGACTTCCTAGGTTGTTTTCCCATTATACAACTTCCACATGTATCCACCTCAGTATGTATCTCAGGAAGGACTTGCACCATGTCCTTTTACTTGAGAAACTTTAGACCATGAAAATTCAACTTACAAAATCTTTTATTTTAAAGCCATGAATCATCTACAATTTCATTGTTAATGCATTGTAATGAAATTGCAAAGGGAAGTTTCTTTTTATCATTTTTACTTCAAAACAATGACTCAATTTAACTCAATTTTATCATAAATCCTGCAATAATTATCTCTGAACACAAGAGAATAATCATTTTCCATGAGTTGACCAACTCTAGGCAAATTTTTTTCCTTGTTAGGAACATAAAGAACATCATGAATTTGCTTACCGCTTCCTTTAATGTTGATCAAAATAGTACCTTTACCTTTCCCATCAACTAAGGCTCCATTCCCCATCTTCACTTTAGTAGTGATGCTATTAATTGAAATGAAAACATTTTCATGTCATGTGATTATTACAATCACTATCAACATACCATTCTTTGTTTTTTGTTGAAGCATCAGATTTAGAAGCAAAGAAAATATTTTCTTCCCTTTATTCCTCCTGTTATTCACAAAATTTGCTTGCTCATATTTCTTATGCCAACAATCCTTTTCAACGTGGCCAAACTTTTTACAAAAGTTACATTGGTGCTTGCCTTTGTCTCAATTTTTTTCTGCATTATATAATTAGTCTTTTTGCAAACTTTACAAAAAAATAGAGTTTTTCTCAACTTTTTCTTCAACATTCTTGGAAGAACCATCATGATCCTACTTCTTTTTTGGCTTGTGATTCTTCTTCTGATGATTTTTTGAGAAATTTTGAAATTATCATTTGTTGTAGACTAGAAAAGCCGTCTTTGAGTTGATCTTTACGAAAAAAATTTCGCTTCTCGTGTGCACGGAATGATCCAACTAGCTCTTTGATGGAAAACTTAGAAAGATCTTTTGTCTTCTCAGTGATAGCAACTATGTACTCATACTTTTCTGTGACACTAATTAGAATCTTTTCCACAACGTGTTGGTCAGAAATTGTATAACTATGATTTCTCATTTCATTAACAATATTCATGATTAGATTCTTTCATCTTTAAATTTTGAAACTCTCTTCTAAGAGTTTGAAGATTTATAGTGCGTACCTTTTCATCACCATACACCTCAGTTTCAAGAAAATCCCACGCTTCCTTTACATTCTCACAAGTAGCAATTTTGCAAAATATGCTCTTGAGACTCCCATTTGGATTTTGCTCAAGGCTTTTGCATTTCGACGATACTTAGCCTCAAGATTTTTCATCTCTACTAGTGTTAGAGCAATCGTTGTCTGGCTTTTCAAAGCCATTTGCAACAATAGTCCACAAACCTTCAACTTTCAAATGTGTTTTCATTCTTTTCTTCCACTATGCAAAATCAGTTCCACCAAAAAATGAAGTAAGAACAACTGAAGAATCAGCACCTTCATTTGTTTTGGTTGCCATATTTTTTTCTTCACCTAATCCCAAATTAAGAAGGAAAATTTTCTCTTGATATCAATTTGTAGAAAATATGGAAGAAAAAATAATATCTTTAGAGAATGCTCAAGTTTATTACAAGTTACTCAAGGTCACTTGAGATTATTACAATTATCAACTACATCATTATTTATACTACTCAAAATAGAAACAATAAGTCTTGCACAAATAACTAAATACATATATTACAATTTACTAGATATATGTGCTACAAAATTTTAAAAAGACATCTTAAAAGATTAAAAGACAATATCAGAAGACTAAATATTGATGCATTAATTCAAACATATATATAGTTCGACCAGGAAATGACGAGCTTTTATATATTCTTCCTCTTTTGTCAAAGCCTTGCGATTGATTCAACCATCCAAGCCTACAAGTCTGTCATATGAAATCAAACAATTGGGAATATGTAATTAGTACTTTATGTTGTCTCATCAGCAAAGAGAATATATAAAATTATTGCAAACAGTGAAAGAATAAAATAAAAATAAATATTTTTCTAAAAAAATTCAAGTTGAACTTTAATTTCTATCCATAGAATAAAGAATACTACTAATAAATAAAATTAAAATAAAGAGAAACAACAAGGAAATATGACAATCTAACAACCACTGTCCCTTTAAAAAATAGAATAAATCAAACCCTACTTGTTGGTGAACATACAATCATAAACAACCAAATCTTATAAACTAAGACTTTCTAATCAAGTTTCTTTTTTTCTTTACCATAGTTTCATGATGGGAGAATGAAGCAAATTACCATGCTCTTTAATCAGAGATGGATGACAGGATTAGGATTAGAAGTTTGAGGTTGTAAGTTTTGGGTCAGAAGAGAAAAAATTACAAGGCATTCTACCCTTTTTTATTAAAAAAAAGAAAAAGAAACGGCAGTTGATTGTTGGGTTCAAACCCAAATAGTACTCGTGTGAAGAACATTTTTTCACCACTCCTTTGTTATCACTGAACTATCACTCAATTTAGTTAGAGGGTTTACAAGTTAATATATATATATAAAATTTTCTGATACAAAAAATAATATTTGAAAGTTAGTTTGTTTTACCTGATCTTCCTTGAAGTTTTTGTGCTATAGCATAACAATTATGAGGTCCATATTTTTCAACTAACTCCCTAAGTCTCTCATCTTCGTGAGACCTCCAATGGCCCCTGCTGCACATGCTACAATAGTTAAGAAGATTTAAAAAAGGAATTAATTGTTTTACGGTAACTAAAAAGTAAAAAAAAATTAGATCCAGAGAGCTACTATTTCTATATTTAGTGACAAGTTTCAAGGTAAAGAAGCAACTACCTATAAACACAATTATGTGGACTAAAGAATAAGGAAGAAAATAACAAACTGCTTTCCATTTAGGCTAACAAACATCCCTCAAATGTGTGTGTGTATATATATACACACACACACACACATATATATATATATATATATATTAATTTCGTCCTTAGATTTTTCTGTTTAAAAAAGAATGACATATTTGAACGGAGTTTAAGAAAAATAAAGTTCTTTCTTTAATTTTGTGATCCTACATTAAAATTATGTCAAATATATTAAAATGTCATTCAATGTTGTATCGTTGAACATGTAATGTAAAAAACTTAAATTAAATTAAAGGAAAGAGCTCATTTTTTTAAGCAAACGAAAAAAAAAAGTAAGTCATTCATTTTGGAAAAGGGGGGAGTATATTATTGTACTTCACATTTTATTACTAGAATGTGTCATTTTTACTTTAATTGACTAAAAAAAAAGTAAGTCCCATAAATTGTAACAACGAGACTATTAACTTTTCTTTGGGTGGGCGGAGGAAGTTGCTTGGTTGGGTGAATTTTGTTCTGCTTTCAACATCTTATAGCGACCCTCAAAAGACTTGAGATTTTGAAGTCCACTAACCATTTTCTTTAAATGGATATTATGTTGCTTGCTCCATACCCCACTTTAACCAGAATTAGTAAATGTTAGTAATATAATTTTTCTTTCCGAAAAAGTCACTATAAGAAAATGCATTTAAAGTTGCAAAATAAATGTAGCTAAATATGAAATTTTCCGTATCTAATGCTTTAGTTAAAAAATATTTTTTTGTAATATTCGTGCAAGATGTAGAGTGACTAAAAGTTAGCTACAAACTTTACATGGTCTGTGGCTAAGGACTAATACTTATAGCTACTAAAAATATTAGGTTTGTGGCTATAATAGTAGAATATTCTTGCTACAAAATATATACTTGTAGCAAAATATTTTTACACTTTTGCCCCAACAAATTAAATCTATAGCAAATTTTATATTGTAGACATAGTATATTCTAGGGAAATTTTTTAAAATGTCAATATTTTAATCTTTAAGAGGGCTTATTAGCAAAACTTTTAATATTTAGTAAAAATGTCAAAATTTTAATTTGTTACGTATCTTATCTATATCTTTATTATTTGTTTATTTAAATAATAGAATTTTTTAATAACAAAAAGGAGAAAATCAAGGAAGAGATTATTTCGAAAAAAAGGTAAAAATCACTTAATTTTCTAATCAGTTACATTTTCAAATAAAACTCAAACTTTGTTCTTTTTTTCTCTCCATAATCTTAATTTTTTTTGTATTAGTTTGTATTCATTCCAATAGGTATGTCAAATGAATTTATAGTTATTTAAGAAACATATTTGTACTCATATATTTTTTCATGTGTATTTATTTGTTTCTTTGAAAATTTTATATTTCATATTCATTTCAATATGTATCTTATTCGTATTTCTAATTATCCTCTAGCTTTTATTTAGAATATTGTATAATAATATATAAAATACAAAAAAGTAGTATGAAGAAAAGTGAGATAATAGTTTTTAGAGAAGGAACATATCACTAAAAATTCTCATCATTAACATTTTAAAAAAAAAACTCCTTTTTCATTCTATTAGATCAACTTTCCTTTGTTATGTTTTTATTTTAATTGTATACCAATATTTTTTACATTTTATGTGCTCACTTTACCATTCAAATTAAAATTGATATTTTTTCTTTCAAACTACAAATTGTATACCAATTGACTATGAAAGAAATAAGAATACAAGATTCTAGAAAACATATAACATACATAGTAAAATAATATAATCAGTAAACAATATTCTAAAAAAATTACAAATCAACTGTTGAAAAATAGGATGCATATATATTTAAGAAGTACAAATTCATATAAGATAGTATACATGGTGAAAATAATATAATCAGAATACAATATTCTAAAAAAATATAAATTGACAGTTAAAAATTTATTCATTTATGCTTAAGAAATACAAATTCATATGAGATGCGTATTTGAATGACTACAAATAAAAAAGAAATACAATGTTCTTAATAAAAATACAAATGATGAGTAAAAGAAAAATAATTGACAAACAAAAATTAATATGAATATTATTCTGATATTAATACAATTTTGCAACCTTCTTCTTGGACTCTCTCTTTCTTCTTCGTCTGATATGTTCCTTTTTTCCAATTCTTTTCACCAAATTCAAATCTGAATCTGTGTTTATACATGAATTAATAACCCTATAAGCAAAGTTCGAAATTATTAAATATGAATATACAAAAAAATCAAACAATATATTGTGTATGAATGTTTATGTGACTTACTACAAATTGCAATCTACTAAATCTATAATATGAAAATAAAATCGTAAAAATAGTGTTTTAAATAATAAAATTTTGAAATGCATAAATATTTGATGAGTATGTTAATCGAAAAAATGACCAAAAAAATGTAAGACATACAATCTAAAATTCAACATAGTTTTTTATTTCGAAAATAAAATCTTATGAAATCTCGCGAAATAAAAGATGATTACGAAAATACCTTTATGTATTGAGAGATTTCTTGAATTAATCGATAGACCTGAACAAATTGATATGAACTTGAATAATTAGTTCTTCTTCAACAATGAAAGACAATAATGGTGAAAATGGTAAAAGAAATTTTTTTTTTTGAAAATCTTAAAGATTGAAATAAATTTAATGGTATTAAAGTCTAGGAGAAGTCTAAATGGATAGTGAATATATTTAATGTTAAATTGTTTTGAGAAATAAAAGAAAAGATAAATAATAGTATTTAAAAATTATTTTTAAAATATTGACATTTTGACATTTTAACTAAATATTTTAAAGTGTAGATGTTCTTGCTAATTAAGTTAGGAATTGTTACTACTTTACTAATTTTCCTTTTATTCTATTGTAGCAAATAACTTATTTTTTTTACTATGAAAATATAAAATTTGTGGCTATTTTATATTTTTGATCTTGTGGCAATGATACTTGTATTAAGCCACATATTTTTTTTTTCACAAAGCTAAGATTTCAAACTTTTATGACATACATAAATTATAGCTAATAGTTTTAATTTTGCTATGAAAAGTGAAAGACGTATCGTCTTATTTTTTATAATTACATATATATTTAGTCACAATTACAAAAATTCATTGCAACAAATTGAAGAATACTGACATAAACATCATCAATCACAAGATTTTTATAATCTAACTAAAAGATAAATTTCAATAATTTTATTACTATTAATTTGAAAAGGATTTTCCACAAGCTTTGTTAGTCAAAAAGATTACATAATTTAACCATGAATACATTTTTGATATTCAAAATAAGTCTCAACTTACATATAATTGTATACTAAAAATTTAGTCATGATATGCAATTTTCATAAGCCATCATCTTGTTTGAGTCCAGAGCAACATTGTATTCTCCTATCTCTCCTTCAACAATCTTCGGTTGCACCTTAGTTTGATCAACATTGATTTCAATTTGTGATTTGTATTCTCTTATTCCATAAATATGCCTATCAATAATGGTAAATATTTTAGCACTGACAACATAGTGATTTAAAATTTCAAGAAAAAAATATATTTGTCTATGATCAATGTTAAGCAAATAAAAAGTAATACAAGGACAACAAAGGAGTAAACAAATCTGTAACTTTTAAACTTTTTAAAACCTGTAGATATAAATTTCAAATTTGAGTATCAATTATAAAACACATACCTAATCAGAAAATTTCTTTTACCTTAATAAACATAGACAGTCCATTATAATACTCATCCACTCAAGTTAGTACAATAATCTCTTGCAAAAATATAGAATATAATTGTGCATGATATATCATTTGTGGCTCAATCTTTTCAAGAACCTATACATAATAGAAAACTTAGAGCATACGACTGAGTAAACAAAAATTATATATTGTAAAAACTTATCTCATCTTCTTAAAGAATGCTATGTAAAACCTATAAAAGAAAAACAATAAAACATTAGAAACTGTGTGTGTGTCTTGTGTGTGCGCGCGTGCGCGTGCATGCGTGTGTATGCGTGCATGCGCGTGTGCGTGTGCGTGCGCGTGTGCGTGTGTCTGTGTGAATTTAAAATGATATATGCATTAGAATGTCAAGTTAAAAACAGAATATTTAAATGAAATATAACTATCAATATCATAAAAAAATATTTGATCTATTTATATAGAATTAGAAAAAATAAAATTATATTGTGAAGACAAGTGTCAATTGCCGACAATTCAAGTCTGTAAATTATTTTAAGAATTTTTTTTAAAAAGAAATAAAAAACTCAATAAGAATTTTTTGTATCAACCATTTGAATTCAAATTCAAGTCAACATTATTTTCAACTTTAGTGAAACAATACTTCTCCATTGTTTGGTTATTTCAATTTGAATTTAAATAAAGATGTGAATTTTGGATTGTAGTTTTAATTGAAAATACAAATATTATATGGATTAGAAAGTTAAGATTAAAATAAGAAATTCAAAAGAAATTGTGAATAAAAGAATTTTTTAAAATATGAATATTAATATCACTTCTTATGTGTTTTAATTATATTCAATAAACAATTGATTTATCTATCTATATTCAAGAATAATTCATATGGCATATTTGAATAATATATGACATTATTTAATGATATGTAAATTGATTATACATATTTTTATAAATGAAAAAGTACAATTATATCAAATTAATTAGGCATAACGTCTATCTTATATTTATTTAAATTATACTTAAAACACTTAAATTTAGATGTTGTAAAATTGAATTGATGAAAATATTAATATCTCTAGATAAGCTAGCTTGTTAAATGCATTGTTCGATAGAAGAGTTCTGAGTCGTATAAAATGAATTTTCAAATAAGATAAAGCACCTCAAGATTTACGCTTTACCTTGATGAAATACAAGGAATTACTTGAATGAGTAGTATAATTGTTAGGGGTAGATCAGTAATTGTACAGTTAGTTAGTTAGACAATCTGTTT